TCTCCTTCCCAGCCCCAGCCTGGTTGGGTGGGTTTTTTTCAGTTTGAATCAAAACAAACTACTGAGTTCAAACTGCTCACTAGTCAGGAACATGCTGAGCAGGAGCCTCTGCTCCTGGCAAGGGCTATGGAAACTCGCCACTGAGAAACACCTCAGCCATGGAGAACTTGTTTTCAAGTAGATCATATGTCTGGAACATGGCAGGATCAGGACAGTTAGGAGCCTGTACCTCTGAGCTCCATAAAAGCACGGAATTCCCTCAAACATAGAAAGACTGCACAGCTGGGGAGCAGGCAAGATGGCTCTGAAGTCAGCATGAGCCCCTTGGATTTACCCTGGCCTCCCCCAGCCCTGTTTGTATTGTGATTCCTCATATAAGGGAATGAAGAGTCATTTCTGCCCCATCAGCACGTTGTGAACTGATGCCTTTCCCAGGGACTCCAGATGGTTTTGCTCTCTGTCTCTCTGTTTGTGTCTGCACTACTGGTAATTCAGGCCTGTCTCACATTAGCTTTTGAGATGAAACCTTCCCACAATTAGTTACAGTCTGTGCTCTTGCGCTGCAAAGGACGTAGGGCTGAGCTGTCAGAGCGCTGTCTGGGAGATCCGTCCCACACACAGGCCCTGCTCAGGTTTCTCTATTTCAGTCAGGAGTGTGATTTTTCTAGTGAAATCATCAAACCAAGACAGTCTCTGCTACAGATGGGTAGCGACAGCCATTTAAAGATGCCTCATACCTGGCTCGTCTCAGACAGGAATAGCTAATTTCAATATAATCTTGTTTTACACCAGTACACCACCTCTCCTTTCTTTCTCTGGCCTTCCTTTCCTGTCAGTGAAATGGGGAGGGGATCCTTTCACTCCGGGAGCTCCACATCACAAGTGTCAGAGATATGCTAAGCATCTTCATGCCTGCCCATGACCTGCCAGGGACTGGAGCTCGGGGGCAACGAGCTCCACAGACGCCCTTGTAGCATCCCTGCCTCTCTTGGAGCAGAACTGTTTGGCTCCCTTGCTAAACTAGCTTGCTAATAACAGGGTTCTTGATCCCAGGCAGGAATTTAATACTCTTGAGGCCAGTCCTAAGTGTGGTCCAAAACTTCCAGCTGGGCCAAAGCCATGTGTATTGTGGCTGGAATGCAGGAGCGCAGCAGAGGTGAGGGAGAGCTGACAAATGTCTGGGGATCATAAGCTCTAGGGAAGGACGTGGGTGCAGCAGGCATCTTGGGATAAAAGCACTAAGTGAGGGTGTATGGCAGGCACAGAATTAATGAAGAAAAGCACAGGGAAGGTAACAGGAGAGCTGAAGGGTATTAGGGGAGGAGGAAGCTTCATTTGTGTGCTCTTAGACAGATGATTTACTCCCTCTGTGCCTTCATTCATCTGTCCATCAAATGGGGAAGCGTCATCATTATCTCTGCTGTACAGACAGGCACGGGGTCTTTGCCTACAGCAAGTCAGGCAGCGTGAGCACTGAAACCCAGGTGCTTTCGACTGTCAGCCTGCATTTGGTTTGCTAAACCATGTTCTCCATTCCAGAGGCACCGAACAGGGCCCTCCGTAGCTGGGAAGGAGCCTGGCAGTAACTCTGCAAATAGGCTTTGCTGAGAGAAATTATTTCAGGAATGGTGATAGCTGGAATTCAGTGATGAAGCCACACTTGTCACATGTGGAACTACAGTCTGTCCAGTCAGAAGCTGACAGTCTATACAGGGAAAGCAGCCCCTCCTATGCCGATTTAAGGTGCACTTCACAGACACAGCAGATCTTTCTGCTTCGCCTCCCCTGCATAATAAGAGACAGCGTCGTTCCCATTAGCTTATCTGCCTTTGAACGGGAGACGAGGTTGGCAGACCCCCGTGGGCACGGGGGAACCCTGGAAGGAAACGGGAGGCTTTTAAATTTCTGCATGCAGTTAAGAATGTGGGTTGTAGTTTCAATGCCTCTGTATGAACGAGGCTAAACCCTGCACTCGGGGAAGAGCTCCCGGGTGAGTAAATCTCCACACGAGTCTTCACAAATATTACAAAGGGGGGCCACGCAGCCAGGGGCAAGATGCCCCAGCGGGATGAATTAATTTGGAGGGGACTCCTGCAGTCACAGACCCTCCTCTTCAACAAGAGACACGTTAAAAAGCAAACTGCCTCGGGGGTGACAGCGTTCCACTCGCCCCCAGGCTCCTTCACAACCCACCGTTAGACCCAGGCCGGGGACGGGAGGGGGAATCCCTCGGCTGGATGAGGCCCGCGGTGGCCCACCCCGGGGCGGGTAGCGATGCTCCAGGCAAGCCCCGCGGCCCCGTCAGCGCCGAGGGCGGGATTCTGAGGGGAGGCGGGGAGGAAAAAAACCTGAAACCACTCGGGGCACTGCTGCCCTGAGGGGGGCTCTGCCCGCAACCAAAATGGCGGCGCCAGCGCCCGCTGACGAGAGGGGGGCGGGGCGGGGCGGGGCGGGGCG